TACTATCTACTCCACTCACCCAATAAGATCAGTCATGATTAAGAATAGTTTTCTTTCTGCAGTCTTGGTCTGTTAATAATATAGTCTTCACTAGGGCTTAAGTGAACATCTGAAGCATAATCATAGGGATATTTGGTTTCAAGATGATGGAATAGGGGCGCCTGGGTGGCTCAGTGGGTTAAAGCCTCTGCCTTCGGCTCAGGTCATGGTCCCAGGGTCCTGGGATCGAGCCCCGCATCGGGCTCTCTGCTCTGTGGGGAACCTGTTTCCTGCTCCCTTCTCTCTCTGCCTGCCTCTCTGCCTACTTGTGATCTCTCTCTCTGTCAAATAAATAAAATTTAAAAAAAAATCAATATGATGGAATAAAGGCCTCTCTTACCCTTTCTCCTCTTCAAAATTATCCCCCCTAAACAGCAAGGAAAACCAAGAAAAATAACATAGATTTCATCTTCCATGAAACCAGAAGACATTTGTTGATATCTGTAACTACACAATATGTGAAGTTGGAAGAAAGGTAAATGATTTAGTGGAGACAAGGGAGGTCCAACCAGAGTGCCAGAGCGCCTGTAACAACAAGCACGTTGATCCACCCTGCTCAATGCCAGAAAAGTCCCAGAAATTGAAGGCAAAATAAATCCCAGAAAGTAGAGATGGGGCAAGAGCCAAAAATAAGGGAATTGGCTGAAAGTCTGTATAAAGAGTAGGTAGACCTCTTTCCCTAGATCTCTACCCCACTGACAGATACCCTTGCCCCTATAAGAAAGATAGGATATGAAATCTCCACAGAAACAGAAACAGAAACACAGATGCTCTGGTGGGGATACCAGACCCAAGAGAGGGCAGGTACTAAGAACAGGGGATCTCTTCCCAGTTCCAGCATGAAATATTATATAAACACAAATTACTGCTTTTGTTATGACACATTTTTGGCAGTACTTCCTCTGAAGACAAACTAAACAGAATCTTCCTTTCTAGAAGGAAGATTTCTCTTTTAAAGATAATACTGCTAAGAAATCTAATGACTATGTGTAAGTATGTTAATACATATAAGGATTGATTCTTCTTCCCACGAGTAGACTCATTAGTTTCTCTCTTGATTTATCAGGTATTTGCTAACTATGGGTCAATTCTTCTCTTTTCTTGAAACTGTTCTTTCTAGGCAGCTTTGCCTTAGTACCCGCCTGCTCCTTCATCTTTTTCTGTGTCCTTTGCTTGCTACCCTTTCTCTGTATTCTCTAAACAACAACAAAAATAATCATTCCAAAAAGGGAGTCTAGAGCTCTCCTCTTTACATTCTTTCTTTGGATAATATCGTATACTCACATGACTCAGCAACTAGCTCCATCAGCCAGTGGATTCTCAAATTTTCCCAAGCTTTAAACTTGCATTCCCATCTTCCTGCTTGACACATCTAATCAGAATTATCTGAAAAATCAGATCCTCCTCATTGTCCTTTCCTTTTCAACAATGACATCAATAATCTTAGTTATCTAGGTCAAAATCCCCAAGTCATCTCTGACCCTGCTTTCTCTCTCTCTCTCTTTAAGATTTTATTTATTTACTTGAGATAGAAAGTGAGAGAGAGAGGAAGGGAGGGCATGGAGAGGGAGGGAAGAAGGAGAGGGAGAAGCGGGCACTCTGCTGAGCAAGGAGCTTGCCATGGGGCTTGATCCCAGGACCCTGGGATCCTGACCTGAGCAGAAGGCAGACGCTCAATCGCTCAATGGCTTACTCAATTAAGCCACCTATGCACCCCCACTGCTTCCCCTTTAAACCCCTCATGGGCAGTTAAGTTGCATATTGCATTGATCCGATCTGTGTATTCAGTCTTCCAATGTCTCTCCTTTCTATTCCACAGTACTACACTATTACAGATCCTAATCTCAGCCTGAATGGCTTTAGTAGCCCCCTAATTTATTTATTTGCATTCTCTCAATTGCCACTTCAATCCATCCTACTCTCAGACATCTCTGATCAAATTGCTGCTACTCTGTAACCACCCTATTGTAACAACCCTATTGTCTCCTCCTCACAAGATCCTTCATATTAATGCCCAAACCAATAGATCCAGCTAAATCTCACTGGTCTCCTACACACATTCAATGTTCTAACCAAGCTCAATTAGTGTTCCTCAGACATACCTAGCATTTGGGGGGAAGGGCTTCAATTAATTTCCCACTCTGTCTCTGTCTCTTAGCCTATCTTTCAGAGCCCTTAAAGGTTTCCTTGATTTCTCCATGACCTTACCATAGTCTGTCACTCTTTACACTTGATCCTTCATAGCTCCATCCTTGTGTGTATGTTTTAATGGTACTCATTTTACTCTAATTTATAGCATAGTAGCTCATGCCCAGTTACATTTCCACCTCTCCCTCATGAGATTTTAAACTCCTTGACTGCAGAAAAGTTGCCATACTCATCTTCGGGGCTTGCTGTACCTAACTTGCACTTGGTACATGCAAATGCTTAAGAATTGTCTTTGAATCACATGAGAGCTGCCTTCAGATGCCTTTCGGAGTTTCATCAGATACATTTAATAACTAAAAACTTCGAGAATGAGGTAATCTTGCCAGTGACAGACTACTTGGCCCAAAGTTTGCAAACAACTGGGAAAAGGAAAGTCTTGATGTGTATCAATGGTTGAATCAAGAGTTCTACCAAAGGGTATTTTTTAAAAGTCTTGTTAGTGATATAGCAGATGACATTCTTTCTCCTAAGTCAGTCTGTTTAAAATTCCCAAGTGGAATACTGGAGCACAGAGCAGTGAAATGAGCAACAGGATTACCCTCAGGAATCTTTTAGGTTAAAGTGGGATTCTATCTTCAGCATCCTGGCTGAATTTAAAGCCAGCTATTCTAGTCTGACTCCTGAAAATGACCCTGGGGCTTTGAGAAACTGGTGATCCTGCTCCAATTCCATCCCAGGCTTGTTGTGCTCACTCTCTGCGCTGTTAAACTGGGGCTATGTTCTACGTGAAGGTGGAATGAAGAGCTGATTTTTTTTTTTAAGATTTTATTTATTTATTTGACAGACTGAGATCACAAGTAGGCAGAGAAACAGGCAGAGACAGAGGAGGAAGCAGGCTCCCTGCTGAGCAGAGAGCCTGATGCAGGGCTGGATTGCAGGACCCTGGGATCACAACCTGAGCCTAAGGCAGAGGCTTTAACCCACCGAGCCACCCAGGTGCCCAGAAGAGCTGATTTTTGCTACAGATATCAAACTAGTGCCCGACGTTAGCAAACGACAGGACTCAAACATGAAGAGATCGCTGCCCTACCTCCCGAAGAAACGTTTATTAATGTTTGTCTCCTGAACATGACTGGGTCTTCTCAACCGCTTTACAAAGTAAATACACTAGGACATTTACTTGTTGAATTATGAAAAGTCAGAAAAAGAAAAAAATGCTCTGTTCTATTAGCAGGTAGACAAGTCTGCGATAGAATTTGCCTCAGTATTTTGTGTAGTTGACCTCAAACTCCAAAAGGCCAAGTGTGTAATCTCTGTTCCACCCTACTTTCTCAGATAAGAGGGCTGTGGTGACCCATTTAGTGTGGATTTAAGGTAGCAGGGAAAAAAATTAAATAATCAAGAAACTGAACTGGGTTATAAAAACCAAATTGGCAAAAGGAAAATAGGCAACGTCTTTAAACCTTAGAGAGGCTGGGAAGCATGCTGGCCGTGCTTTAATCCCTAAGAATATACCGTCCTTCCATTTCCTGGGACATTTCCACCCCAGGCTAATCTTAGGCAATAATTGAACCACATCGGGATGCGTCGCTCATTTTAAATGACAACCCTTCCCTACGCTATCTGCTCCTAGCCGCTGATTTCCGTTTTTTAATAAGCAAACGCGGAAGGGCCAGGAGCGGGTTCTGAGCCGGCTGAGCCATGCGAGATTAGGTGGGTCTGGAGGTCGCCCAGAGGGCCGGGACCCAGGGGTGTGGCAGCTCTAGAACAGCAGGGGGCGCTGCATAACCTCGGTCCCTTCACCAAGAACCACTTACCCCGCCCAGACGGTTAGTATGGCCTGCCACGTCTGGCCCCAAGTTCTCTACCTAGGTCTGCGCGTTTTTCCTAAAAAAGACAGTAAACCTCGTGGCACGCCCAAGGTATGTGACAAGAAAAATAGCATGCACCCTATAAAACTAAGGGTTCTCTTTTAATCCTCTCTATGTCTCGTAGCGGCGAAGGCTGGCTCCAAGATCTGGAAATTGAGAAAAGTTGCTCTTTCTCACACACTAAGGGCCGACCTCTACCTTCCTTTACAAAAAGAAAACAGCTACTGACCCTGAGCCGCCTGGGAACTACAGCCAAAGTTACCACTGAACAGTTCCCGCGCTGCCCCGCGCCCCCTCTCCCTTGGGGATCTGGCTTCAGTTTGCCCCCAACTGTGAACGGGCCGTCGAGAAACAATGCGACTGGGCAAACTTACACCCACACAATATATCGCACACCTTTCCTTCCCTTCTCCCCAGTCCCCTGGCCCGGCTCGGCACCGCCGGGAGCGTCGCGGGGGAGACACACTTTCCCAGCGTAGTTTCACGCTGGGACGCTGGGGAGGAGGTCGAAGTTCGAGCACGCGCCTGGGTCCATGGGCACCTTCGCATTCTCTGATTTCCTCGGGTAAGCTCAGGGTTCCTATGCCGAGGGGTCCCGGCCGCGGGGCAGTAGTGTGCATGTAGGAGAGGACGTGTCTGCCTGCTGCAAAACGAGTCTGGCGTCCGTTGTGTGGGTCCGGGGCCGTTCCGTGCGCTTGAACCGGGAGAGAGCCCCAGCCACGCCTTCAGCGGTCCCCAAGTCCTTACACAAAGCAGAACCAAGGGGACGAGCTCCCGACCGAGGTCTGCATCCCCAATTCGCCCCGAACAGAATTGTCATGCCATGCCGGACGACGTTTGGGGGTCCCTGGCACGTCGTGGGGCGGCCGGGAGCGCGCCATCCTGCCCCCCGCCCCGCACTGCCCTCCCGACGCGCGGGCCGCGGGCCGGCGGGGTACTCACATGTCCAGCCCCGGGGAGAAGGGCGGCGGGCAGTAGCCGTGCGGTTCCCGCGGGGAGGGCGCAGAGCGCGGCTCGAGCCCCCCGTTGACGCCCCTCCAGCCCCGCCGGCGGCGCTGCGGCTCCGAGCCTTCGTCCTCGCCCTCCTCCTCCTCTTCCTCCGGCGCGGGAAAGGTCACCCTCGCTTGCTCCTTGCACTTCCTGACCTTGGTGGACATCGCGCCCGCAGCGGTCCGAGCGTGGGGATGCCGGCCGCCCGCCGCCGCCGCCGCCGCCGCCGGGTCTGTCCGCGGCGCCCCTTCCGCACCGCGGGCCACTCGGGCAGCCCCGGGCAGCCCCGGGCGGGAAGGCAGCAGGAGAGAACGGCGCGGCCCGACACCGAGCAGTTAGAGGCGGGAACCGAAGCCGAGTCGCCGCCGCCGCCGCCGCCCACCATGAAACCGTGGGAGCAGCTGCCGCGGCTGTGGCTGCGGGGAGGAAGCCCGGGGCCGAGTGGGGCGCTGGTGCTGGGAAAGGTTCTCCCGCCCGGCGGCGGCGGTGCCGAAGCCTCCTCGGTGCGGGGCTCCTGTCTCCGACAGCATCACTTGCTAGGACACTACCGTTACTCAGGGTGAAGGACAGAGAGGGAGAGGGAGGGAGCGGGGCGGGGGGGGGGCGCGATAGAAGGAGGGGGAGAATCAATTCCTTATCAGAGCGAGCTGGAGAGGAAATCAGACCAGCAGGTAGGGAGTGAGGAAATCCGAGAAACTTCCTTCCGTATTCTCCCATTTCCCTGCCGGAGGATCTACACCCTTTTTCCACTTACAGACACAAGTTTCCTAAGGAAGGGAAAAGGAAATCGTCTGGCTTGCTAATTTTTCTGCATTCGTATTTACCCAATTCGACTCCAGATTTGTTTCAGCAAATATCACTTGGTCATTGTGTTACTCTAAGACTTAGTTGAAACCACAGAGATTTAAGTACATTTCCTTGGGTGCCTTTGTACCCCAAGAACGGTAATGTTTGAACATGCACGTGCTTCAGATTTGTTTGTTTGTTTTAATAAGTCTCAAAACCATCTGACAAGATTTATATACATTCCAATATTTTCTAGCAAAATTTAAAGTCTCCTTTTAAAAGTTTCAATAGTAATAATAATTAATATTTTTTTTTTCATTTTAAAAGTCAAAAGCAAGATTTCTTCTGGAAGAAAAGACTTGTGGAGTTTTAGTCAAAAGGAGTCTTAAGGATCAAAGAATTTATCCCTTGTTTTAGAAATAAGAAAACTGAGGCCTAGAAAGACAAAGTAAACTAGTCACAGAAGGCAGCTAGTGAGAAAACTCAGATTAGACTGAGGTAAGTGTATTTTCCAAGGCTTTCTATTGCCTCTATTGTCTCAAATATGCAGTTTTCAATCAAGTCCAACTTGGAAGAGTCACGGAAATACCAGACATGCTATGATAAGATAAAATAAGATACTCATGTTCTAACTGTATCAATTACACTGTATTTTTTCAGGGAGCAGTTCTTCCTGAAATTAAATAAAACATAGGTAAGGAAATGTAGTAGCTCTTTTCAGTTTAATTCTTTAAAATTAAATGAAATATTGTGTTTTATTAAGTTGATAACAAATCTGCATGTTTAAGGAAATGATATTTTTTGTACATCTGACAGAAAATACAAGTAAATATTGTCTAGTGCTTTACACTTGGAAGCAACTTTTCCATATTAGCACATGCAGAAATGGAGGTGTTAAAATCTTCACAATATATGTTTCTAGACCCCTTCAGTTCCACTTCGGAAATATCTCTAAAGCAAGACTGCTCTCTGCACCCCAATACCACTGCCTCAGTTCAGGCTCCCATCGACCTCCTGGTTCTCTGTTTTTATGCAGCCTATCTCTCCCCATACCATTTCATTTTCCACACTATTAGACAGACCATGCTCAGAGCAAGTCTGATCGTGACTTTTCGCTATAAAAATCTCTGGTGGCTTTCTACTGCTTTCAGGTTAAGATCCAAATTTGGCATTCCCAGCCCTTAGTGGTCTGACCCTATTACTTCACTCTTTCCTCCCATCCTCCCTCATACACATTCTAACTCCAATTACCCTGAACTTCTCACTCATCACCTGACATTCTAGACACTTTCTCATTTCCCTGCCTTTGTCTCCAGGACTCCTGTCACTGAAATATGTCTCTTCCCCTGTCCACCCTGCACACGTCTACTTTTTCCCAAAGACTTCGGTTACATGTGGCTTCCAATCTGATCCCCTTTCTATATCTCAGTGAAGTTCTCACAGCCTCTGGTCCTTACCTGTGGCACTCCGTGCATACCACAGTCTTACCACTGGTCACATCATACTGAAATTAACTCTGTGCCTGTGTCCTCTTTAGACTGAATTCCTTGAGAATGGTCTGGGGTCTTAATTACTTTGAGCCATTTGGGGGCTTATCTTTTGTTTTTGCCATTTAGCTCAGTACATGAGCTACATGTGTGCTGCAGAAGCTCAACAAATATTTGTTGAATTAATTTATGAAGTCTACAGCTTCTTTATAATTATGTTAAGTTCGTGAACTGCTTTCTTTTTTAAGATTTTATTTATTGAGAGAGAGTGCATGAGAGAGCACGAGGTGGGGAGAGAGGCAAAAGAGAAGGGAGAAGCAGACTCCCTGCAGAGTAGGGAGCCTGAGTACTCAGGGCAGGATCCCAGGACCCTGGGGCCCTGACCTGAGCCCAAGGCAGACACTTAACGAACAGAACCAACAAGGGGCCCCTTGAACTGCTCTTATTAGGCTCTGAATAGAAGCACTTTGGGAATGCTGGAGTTACCAGGGTTTATTCTTACACGCTGTATTAGTTTTGCTAGGGCTGCTATAACAAAGTATCATGGATGAAAAACAGAAACTCATTTTCTGACAGTTCTGGGGGCTAGAAGTCCGAGAGCAAGATGTTGGCAGGGTTGTTTTCCTCTGACAGATTCTAGGTGATCATCTTCTCCTATGTCTTCACATGGTCTTCCTTCTTGTGTCTGTGTCCTAATCTCTTAGAAGGGTATCAGTCATTTGGGTTAGGGCCTCTGACTTCATTTTTAACTTTAATGACCTCTTTAAAGACTCTGTCTTCTAACAGACATCCTGAGGTGTTGGGGAGTATGACTTCAACATATAAATTTCCAGGGGTGGAGGGGGCAGCTCAGTTCAGCTCATAACATAAACTAATTCTCCTGGTCTGAGAGAACTCTTTTCCCAGAGTCTGCTAACATTTTTATTATTAAGAAGTATGCCCCTGATATTATGCTGAGCGAAATAAGTCAATCAGAGAAAGACAATTATCATATGATCTCCCTGATATGAATAGTTTAAGAGGCAACATGGGGGGCTTGCGGGGTAGGGAAGGAAAAAATGAAACAAGATGGGATCAGGAGATAGACAAACCATAAGAGACTCTTAATCTCCCAAAACAAACTTAGGGTTGCTGGAGAGAGGAGGGTAGAGAAAGGGTGGTTGGGTTATGGACATTCGGGAGGGTATGTGCTATGGTGAGTGCTGTGAAGTGTATAGACCTGGCGATTCACACACCTGTACCCCTGGGGCTAATAATACATTATATGTTAATAAAAAATAAAAAATTTAAAAAAAATAAAATAGAAAACAAAATAAAATTAAATTAATTTGTATTTAAAAAAACAAAAAACAGAAAACAAAAAACAAAAAAAAAGAAGTGTGGCCCTGAGACTGATGAAAACCCAGAGGAAAGGAAATCTGAAAGAAGGTAGGTTCTTGAAGAGGGAGGAAATATAGACTTCCCTGGCATAAGCCAGCTTTATCTTATTTCCTTCTTTTGTAAAAGAAGATCTATCACTGCATATGTGTTGTTCACTGTCTGTGTATTCACGAAATGAGTGTTCGCCTAACATACATTCAAAATCCATTACTCCTTTGGGGGAAAAATCATTATTCAATATTCAGAAAATCCAACTGTTGAAGTTTATTTTCAAGAAGAGATGACCACTGAGGCATAAATAAAGCATAACTTTTATGCTAAGTACAAATAAAATAAAAATGATTTTTTAACCTGATAACAGAAGATGGTCTCCCAATTTCCTCCTAAATTTCTAAAAAAAATGCTGTATCTTCTTTCAAATCTATTTCACACACTGCAGAAGGCCCCTGTTCTCTTTCTCTGTGTCTTTCTTTTCCTTTCTCCAGTGCTGTCTGTAAGACACCTAATAAGAAGACACTTTTTAGCAGTAATTCTTGCACCCCAAGATGAAGGTTAGCAATTTTCTCAAGGGAGCAAGAGCATGGGAACAGGTATAATGTTCCAGATAGTGCACATTTTTTTTTCCTCCTTAAGAACAGAAGTTTTCTTATAAATAAATTTTGCTTTGCTTTTTAAAAAAAGATTTTATTTTTTTAGAGCAGTTTTACGTTGGCAGAACAATTGATTAGAAGGTACAGAGATTTCCCATATACCCTATGCATATATGCATATGCTCCCCCATTATCAATATTCCCCACCAAAGCGGCACATCTGTTAAAACTGATGAAGCTGCATTGACGACACATCATTATCGCCCAGAGTCTATCGTTTTCAATGGAGTTCACTTTTAGAGTTGTACATTCTGTGGGTTCAGACAAATTTAAAATGACATGTATCCACCTTACAGAGGAGTTTCATTGCCCTAAAAATCTTCTGTGCTCTGCCTGTTCATCTCTTCTGCCTCCCAACCCCTGGCAACCCCTGATCTCTTTATTGTTGCTGTAGTTTTGCCTTTTTCCAGAATGTCATAGAGTTGGAATCATACAGTATGTTGCCTTTTCAGATTGCCTTCTTTCACTTTGTAAGATTCATTTCGGTTTCCTTCATGTCCTTTAATAGCTTGAGAGCTCATTTCTTTCTTCTTCTTCTTTTTTATTATGTATTATTTGTTTCAGGAGTACAGGTCTGTGATTCATCAGTCTTGCACAATTCACAACACTCACCATAGCACATACCCTCCCCAGTGTCCATCATCCAGCCACCCCATCCCTCCCACTCTCCTCCCCTCCAGCAACCCTCAGTTTGCTTCCTGAGATTAAGAGTCTCTAAGGATTGCCTCCCTCTCTGGTTTCATCTTGTTTCATTTTTCCCTCCCTTCCCCTTTGATCCTCTGTCTTGTTTCTCAAATTCCTCATATCAGTGAGATTGTATGATAATTGTCCCTCTCTGAGTCACTTATTTCGCTGAGCATAATA